AAATAAGGTTATTTTAGTAGGAAGATAATGAATACTTTAAAAGATTTGAGATTGAATGAACAAGTTAAACTGACTTCTTGATAACAATATTGGCAAAAACAGTAGAAATAATAAAACCTGAATTTTATAAAGGTTTAAATAGCATACAAGATATAGATATATTGAAGTCTTATTGTGATAAAGTTAAAAAAAAAAATTAATTTTAGTTTTAATAATGGAATCTTAATCTAAACTTATAAAAATAAGAAAAACAAAATATATATAAAAACTAAGTATTATGAAATAAGACTATTTCTTTGAAGAAAAATTCAATAAAATACTAAATTATTCCATTTGTTCCAATTAGTTTTACTGAAGTTTTTATTTCAATATTTTTATTATTATACTTTTTACTATTCAACTTCATTTTTTTATTTTTACTACTAATAGGACCCCAGACATCACATATATAACTCATAAGGTTCCTTAATGTACGCATCATGCGAATTCCTAATTGCCGATCATTCAGACCCAGTTTAATCGCAGAAAATCCCCTGAAATTCCACGATGATCTATGCCTGTATACGATATTAACGTACGCACTGGTCCAAGATTGGGAGTTATGCACTTACACGTAATAACGTTAAACTTAACTTCTGGCCAGTGCGTATATTAATATCGTACACATGATGTGTAAGTTAAGAATGCTCTATAACTCATAACTGATCTGCATGAATTTAGCATTTTTTGCTTCTGCTAAAATAAATCTAATTTGCTAAAAATCAAATTATCATATTTTAAATCTATACTAATTTGCTAAAACTCAAAATATGAGTTATAGTAAAATTCTAAATAATATAGGTTTAAATTTGCTTAATAAAATATAATTTCAGTTTATTCAAATTATTTGTAGATCGGTAAATTTAATTATCAATTTACTGAAATTAACAATCTTTTTTTTTTATTATCAATAAAAAAAATAAATAATTAATATAAATTAAACTGTTGATTTTTATAATTTATAATTAAAAATATGTAGATTATAGATAAAATAATACCGTATATCNCCTATGCATAGTACCCCCCTTGAAAAATTTCATAGAATTGTATAGTACCCAGGGGGATATTTTACAATTATCTCGTGATCCAGTGATCAGATTTGAGCCATCTTTTTTTTGTTTGATAGCTCTCATTGAGCTTTACAAGATAAAAAAAAGATCGTTCAAATTGGACTGGTAGAACGTGAGATATTTGCAAAATATGGAATTTTTAGGCTTTGTTTAGTACCTGGGGGTACAGGGTCAAACCCCCAATTTTTGCAAGATACCCGGGGTACTGTGGCTTGCTATATACGGTAATTAATAAAAATAATAAATTAAATATAAATAATTATTAAAAAAATAAAATGTTGCGAAACTAATCAGATGGGTTTTGGCCTGCATTATGCTTAACTTTGGCCGGAATTATACTTAATTTTGGCCAAAATATAACCCAAACCCGAAACTAATATTTTTAAAAATATTATCAATAAAAGTTAAAAAAAAAAGGATAAAAAAAAGTACCAATTTGTTCAAATATAAAATATGACTTTGTAAAATCAATACAATTTGCTAAAACTCATAATTATGACTATTAATTAATTTTCAATCAATTTGCTTTATCTAAAATTATGAGTTTAACCTAATTTTGATTGAATTTGCTAAAACTCAAATGTGAGTTATATATGTGATATCCGGGATCCTCTACTAATGTTACATTTTTTTTTCTTTTTTACTTACATCTCATTTCTAAATTTCTACTGTATACTTTATTTAAATGGCATGTATATATAAATCTGTTTTTATTAGCTATATATATATACTATTAAATATAGAATGATAAATTAGATAAAATAAATAATTTAATAAATAATATAAAAGAAGTTTATATATTTTTCTTTCAAATAAAATTTGCTATATATAAATATTATCAAATATGAAATGATGTAAAATTAAAATTCAATAGAAAAAAAAAACTAATTATTTATTTTTTCCATTTTGATAATTTGTTTTTTAAAAATTAGTTACTTTACAAAGAAAATAGAAAAACAAAATAAGAGTAACTAACTATATATTTTACCTCTATTAGTACCACTTTGACATACCCCTAATTTTTAGGAATTAAATTGAGCATTTATGTAAAGATCACATCTATAATAAATTAATAAATAAAATAAAATTACCAGACTATATATAGTATATAAAACAAATATACTAATTCTACCTAAAGAAAAAAGATTATATTATATATAGGATAAATTTAATTCTCATCCTTATATGTGATGTTTAAATTTCACTTTTATTTCAAAAAAGGAATTTTGTATACCAATCATTTAATTCTGGCCAGAATTAAATATGTTACATGATTTAATAAGAAAAAACCTGAAAATAAAAATGACATTTAAAACCATCTTTAATGCTTTAAGTAAACTTGCAAAGCAGGGAAAATACACATAGTAGATATTTTTTAAAATATTTGAATTTCTTTTTTTGTTATAAGATGTGAAATTTAAACATTATACAAAAGAGACAAGATATACATTTTTTCTAATAAATTAATCATAAAAGTGTAATATTATCATGTGTAAAAATTGAAATTTTAAGGTATTTTATAAATCTGCTACGAACAATAATTTATGATATCTTTATAATGATTATGAAAAAAGTATTTATAATATTTTATTATATCTTTTTGTTAAATTGCATTATTTGTAAAATATATAAATATTTTAATATTTTAGATATATAAATTAGTTGGCATTTTAAAATTATATAGAAGAATTTTTATTTATTATTTGAATTAAAGTGGATACGGTAGCATTTATATATGTATAACATATACAATTTCTGCATAATTATAATAAACCTGTTCCGTTTATTACCAAAAAAAGAATTACCTTTCTTATTTAAAATTTTCTATATATAAGTATAATTTTTTAATTGAAATTAAATTTTTATAACAGCCAATTTTTTTTTTTTTGCTTTTATTAAACTTTCAATAATTAGAAAAAAAATTCAATAAAACTTTTGATTTTAATATTCAATAATTATAATAAAATTAACGAAATTAATGAAATTAATGAAATTAAAAAATAATTAATAATCCTATTTATTGATATATTATAAAAAAAATTTTTTTTTTTTTACTTTTCAATAACGTAGCAATAATAATACCAAATGATGCCATCTTTCTTTCTACTGTAAATAATAATGATAATAGAAATAATGATAAGGCGGAATAAAAAGTAATGTAAAAAAGAAAATGAATTTTTTGTGTATTTTTTTTTGCATAATAATAAAAAAAAAGGAATAAGAAAAATATTTTTGAAAAATTTAGATATAGTTATACATATTAGTTTGAAGAAAAAAAAATAAAACAATACAACAAATTTATGATGTATAAAAAAATAATAATAGGTAAGGGGAAATTACGAGTTAATTGATTAAGGTTAAATACTGCATTGGCCGTTATTAATGAGGTGATGAAATTCTTAAACGAATAGAAAAATCATCTATGAATTATTACAATTATTAAAATTTTTACTTTTTTTTTATGACGATATTTGTATTTCTGTTGATTCTGTTGTAACAGTTATTTCCTCTGTAGATTCTTCAACCACCTTGGCGGATTGCGTCGTTGTCTCTTGAGCTTCAGTTACTTTAGCATCAGCAGTATCAGCAGATTTATCAGCGGCATCTTTAACAGATTTTTCAATATCATTTTCATTTCCACTACCAGATGGTACTACTTCATCAAGTTTTTTGGGTAGTTCTCTGCTTTCGGATGTTGATACATGAGATTCGACTTCAAATCCTAACTCTTTAAATACTTTGATCCATGATTCACGATCTTCTTCGGAATCAGCACTTAATTTATATGTTCTTGACTTTGTTTCGAGGTCAAATTTATTTCCATCACCTATTTTGACTTTAAGAATATCAATAGATTTCTGAGTTGTTGCATCATTACTATTTCTATAGTAAAATAACTTTTTATCATCAGTGAGCACAAAATAACGTTGTTCAAAATTTTTTAGAAAACCAGATTGTTTTTGAAGGTTTCCGCTCTTTTTTGTCCTTTTTTCATCAGGGAAGACTGGTTTTTGATTAGCCTTTTCAGTCTTTTCTTCCTTTGGTTCTTCTACATCAGTCGCTTCGGTGGCTGATGCAACAGCTTCATCTGTTTCTGCTTTATCTTGTGATTCTGAATTTTCTTTCTTAACACCACCACTTTTTCTATAGACGTAAAAGAAAAATGATTAAAAAAAAATCACATTATTAAGTAAGGAATAAGCAAGGAAAAGAGAAACTAACCTTCTGCCAAAATTACTAAATATACTACTTTTTTCTTTCTTTTTGTTTTCGGTTTCAGTGGAACTTTCTGGTCCTGCGGTTTGTTCAGCATTTTGTTCAGCAGTCTGTTCAGCAGTCTGTTCAGAAGTTTGTGCTGTAGCATCGGCATTTTCGGTGGGTTTTGTTTCTTCAGTTTCTTCCTTTTTTTCTTCAGTTTCTTCATTTTTTTCTTCAGATTCTTCTATTTTATCAATTAAATCTCGAGAAATGGATTCTGATTTTTTTTCATCAGCTTTTGGCGATTTAGCTCTTTTCCCACCAAAAATCTTGGTAGTCACTCTGCGAACAAGGGAAGGTTCAGCTTTATCTTCAGTTTTATCCTTATCTTCTGCATCATGGGTATCAGTTGTTTCTTCAGTTTCTTTATTTCCATCATTTTTGGCTTCAGTAGTTGTAACATCAGCAGAAGAAGGTTCAGTTGTCTCTGCTTTGGCGGCTATTAGAAATAAAAAAAAAATAATTGTACGTACACGTGAGCGAACATTTAATTACCTATATGAATTAACTCTCTTTTCTAATGAAGGATAATAACTTACTTTCACTAGTTTCCCCCTTTTTGAAGATGTTTTTAAAGAAACTACCACCTTCCTTATGCTGAGCTGTTTCATCAGCAGGAGTTTCAGTAGTTTCAGGTTTACTTTCAGTCTGTTCACCTTGTTCCGTTACCTCTTTATTTTCTTCCTTTGGAGTTTCTTTAGTTTCTTTGCTGCTTGTTGCCTTCTTACTGAAGAAATCAGTAACATTAAATTTCTTCTTCTCAGCTTCAGGATGTTCTGCACCATCAGTAGCAGCACTTTCAGTCTGTTCACCTTGTTCCGTTACCTCCTTATTTTCTTCCCTTGGAGTTTCTTTAGTTTCTTTAGTCTCTTTAGTCTCTTTGCTGCTTGTTGTCTTCTTACTGAAGAAATCAGTAACATTAAATTTCTTCTTCTCAGCTTCAGGATGTTCTGCACCATTAGTAGTAGCAGCAGCAGTATTACTGGTTTCAGCAATAGTAGTTTCCTCAGCAGGTTTTGCTTTATCTTCATCAGCTTTGGGAGTTGATTGAGTTGATTCTGGTTTTTTATTAAAAAAGGAAAGGAATTTACTAGCCTTTAGAGGAGATTTGGGTTCACCAGTTTTGTTCTCTTCAGTTTCTTCCGTAGTATTTTCAGCAACAACTTTACTATCATCCTCAGTAGTTTCGACTATAGGAGCAGCAATAGGTTCATTTGTCGAAGACTTTCTTCCAAAAGCGAAAGGAAGGAAAGATTTACGTTTGTTTGTCTCAGTAGATCTTGATTTATCAGCAGTTTCTTCATCTCCAGAAAATGGTTCATCAGAAAGTTCACCAGCATGTTTTGATGCTTCACCAGTAAAAGCTGTTCCTTTAACTGTAAAGAAACAATGTTAAAAATTAGTTTATGTACTTTTCAACATAATACATTTTTAGTACACTATATAAATGTAAAGATAAAGTAAACTTACCAAGTTTTTCATAAGTTTCATTAAACTTAGATTCATCAACTGTTACAGGTGACTCTCTAGCTTTCTCAGCTTTTTCCTTGATAGTTTTTATCCAACTCTCACGATCCTCCTCTTTATCAGCAGCAAGTTCAAAAGTACGATGTTCTGTTTCGATTTTGAAAGCAAATTGTTTTCCACTGTGTTCATTAAGTGCTATAACGTCTATTACATCTTTCAAGTTAATAATACCATGAGGAATAGTTTGATGAGTTTCAGATTTGAAATAGAATAGAAGGCCTTCACCGGTCTGAGAAGCATGAGCAATGTTTTCGAATACTTTCTTAACGTAAGGTGTTACAGTTACTTCATCTTTGGGTTTTTCATCTTTGGTTTCCGGTGATTTTTTATCATCGACCTGTTTTTTATCACTCTCTTCTTTCACATCTTCCTTTACTTTATCATCAACTTTAACTTCTTCAACAATATCAGTTGAAGTAGATTCTTCAACTTTTGGAGGTTCTTCAGGTTTTTTAGATTCATCAACTTTTGGAGATTCATCAACTTTTGGAGATTCATCAACTTTTGGAGATTCTTCAACAACTTTTGGAGATTCATCAACTTTTGTAGATTCATCAGGTTTTTTAGATTCTTCAACTTTTGTAGAATCATCAACTTTTGAAGGTTCATCATCTTTGACTTCGGCATTAGAAGAAGTATTTCCAGTAACGTTTGGTTTTGGTATACCTCTTTTTACATTTTTCCTATGATAAGTCTTAAGATTGGGTATAGAAATAGGATGACCATCACTTCCAAAAGCGAAGTAACTTCTACTCCAATGTTTCATCACAAGTAATTTAGAAGATTTCTGCAAATAACCATTATCAATGGGTTTAATTTCTTTAACTTTATCTTCGGGTTTAGAATCAGAGACTTCATTTTCAGGTTGAATAGCTTCAGGTTCTTGTTTAACCTCAGGCTTCTTTTCAGGGTCAACAGGAGTGATATTATCTTCTTTAGCTGGTATAGTGGTTGTTTCAGTCATTATTAAAAATGATACGCGACAAAAATTAAAAAAGATATGATTTTTTGTTTAAAAGGTAAAAGGAATAATAATATTATAATAATACTTTTTATTTATATATTCTTTTAAAAAAAAAAATTAAATTTTTTTTTTTT